TATCAGAGCGTGAATTTCCTACCCCGCTTTCGCTTCCAGGCAAAACCAAGTCATGCCACGCGCCTCCTCGTCAAACAGCCTGACCAGCACAGGCCGTAGTTTGGCATCGCTTGTTATCTCTTGGAAGCGAGGGTGGTCAAAAGCGAGGTAGGTTCGTTCGCCCCTTATTATATTTCTTGTTTTGCCGATCGGCGCGGGCCCTCGCACTCCCCCCTCCCCCCCATGGAGTAGATCTTGGCTGTTTTTGGCGCTTGCTTCCAGCAGGTGTGGCCTCCCCCATCGGACGCAGTGTTGCAAACAGCCACATTAAGCAGTGGTCCAGAGCCAGACCCCCCCCCCCCCCTCCCCCCCTTCCGCCCAACGTCGAAACGCCGAAAAAGAAAACGTCCACGATGGGCTCCATTTTTCGGGCTGCTGCTTCAACTCTGGTCGGTGAACCTGTTCGTGGCCGAGGCTCGCAGTGGCCAGAAGAAAGGTCTTCACTCCTGAGGAGGAGGAGGAGGAGGAGGAGGAGGAGGAGGAGGAGGAGATTCGGCGTTCCTTAAGGCAGCACAATGGCTGCATCGTCCCCCCCGCGTCTGCTCCTGCCTTCCTCTCTGGCCCGCGCGGGTGTCCTCGCGGGCACCATCGGCCAGCAGCTGTCGACCTCCGGTTGCAACGCCTGCGTTTCGAATCCCATGTTCGACCCAACGAGCTTGGCCTCCAGCCGGCACCCAGCCGCAGAACTCCAGCTCCTGACACCACCACGGCCTTCCAACTCCTCACTTCCAGTTTGCAGCCGTGAGGATTTTCGTGCGATTCGGAGCTCAGCAGGGTTTGGGGGGCACCAAAGGGTACCAATACCGCTCCTCCCCGGACCTGCCCCAGGGGTGACGATGTTTTGGTCATTCCTGAGCATTTTTGGCATATCTTTCGGCCATGTATTTCTTGGTTCGCTCACAGTCCGCCTGCCGAGGGACATGCCCGACCTGCGGCCGGGCCCAGCGTTTTGGGAGCTGCGCGCCTCCCACGGGCGCCGAGCCCGCGCTCGTGGGGCAGCGCTCTTAGGCCTCAAGCTAGATGGGATCGGAGCAGACGGGGTCGGAGGATCGCCGATGCTTCGCCGAGGCATCGCCGATGCGGCTCGATGTGCAGCCCGTGTTGCTCCGCGTCGTCGTCGCCGATGCATCGTCGACGCCGACGATACCTCGACGAGGCATCGCCGAGGCATCGCCGATGTATCGGCGTTGCGGCGCGATCCTCCGACCCCATCTACTCCGACCCCATCTGGGAGGCCTCTAAGCGCGCGGCCCAGATCCCTGGGACGCCCTCGTCGGCTCCTGGGGAGGGCCTCCAGTCCCGGGGTGCCGGTCGTCATCTGCGCCCTCGTCGCACTGGGTCGCCCTCGTCGGCTCCTGGGGAGGGCCTCCAGCCCCGGCCCTGCTGGTCGTCCTCCGCGCCTCGTCGCACGGGGACGCCCTCGTCGGCTCCTGGGGAGGGCCTCCAGCCTCGGCCCTGCCGGTCGTCACCGTGCGCCTCGTCGAGAGCGATCCCGGGAGTGCCCGGAGCGTCGGGGGCGGCTGCCCGAGAGGCCGGAGGCATGGCCCGGAGGCCACTCGGGGCGCAGAGCTCGGGAGCCTTGAGGCGGGGGTCCAGACAAGCGCGGGTCGGCCAGAGCGCCCGATCTTGCAGGATCCTGCAGGGTCCATGTCTCACTGACCTGGGTTTGGGTGCAGGGTCCTGCAGGGTCCTGCAGCGTCGACCCGGGTTTGGGTGCCGTATTTTGCAGGGTCTTGCAGGATCCTGCAAGGCCCGATTGACCCGGGTCAGGAGGAGGAGGAGGAGGAGGAGGAGGAGGAGGAGGGAGGAGGAGGGGGAGGGGGAGGGGATGAGGAAGGGGGAGGGGGAGGAGGACATGAGGAGGACGATGAGGAGGAGGAGGAGGGGAGGGAGAGGAGGAGGAGGAGGGAGGAGGAGGAGGAGGAGGATTGACCCGGGTCAGCAGATCCCCTAAGATCTCCGACGCTGCGTTTCTTCGGTCCGAACTCGTTCCCCCGGTCTCGGCGCGGGGGGGCCGTGGGCGGGCCCCCGGTGGCCATCGAAGAGGGATCCATGCAGGGCGAACAAGTCGCCCCACGAGGGCGATTCTCGATCCTCCTCCTTCCTCCTCCTCCTCCTCCTCCTCCTCCTCCTCCTCCTCCTCCTCCGCCTCCTAGGTGGCTTGGCACCGTGGCCCCCGCCCCACGCCCCCCCGCAGCCGTTTCTGCGGGCGGGCGCCGCGGGGCCCGCGCCATAGCCCCCGCGCCAGCCGCCCGCTGCTTGCGGGCGCTTGCACCTCGTGGCGCTGCGGGCCCGCTCGCGCAGCCCTGCGTGGCACCGCCGCGCCCGCCGCTTGAGGTGAGGTTCGCGCTGCGCCTGGCCGCCCGCGCCAGGCTTGCTGGGCATCACGGCGACCGTGGGCGCGGCCCTGGCATGGCCCAGCAGCAGCCTCGGCAGAGCGCGGCCTCGGCTCAGCAGCCGAACTGGGCGTGCGCCGCATCGAGGCTGTGCGGGTTCCGCACTAACTTCGCCTCCCGTGAGACGTGCTGGAAGTGTGGCAGGGACCGTCTCGGGCGCATGGTCCGCGAGTCGCCCGCTTCCTCGGAGCAGGGCGCGAGGTCGGCCTCCGCGGGCCGTCGCCGCCGTTCTGGCCCTCCTGCTCGCGGTTGTGGCGGTCCTCGAGCTGGCGCTGCTCAGGGAGAACCTGCTGGGCCAGCAGTCGTGCGCGCCAGGCAGGGGCTGGCTGCTCTGCAGAAGCTCGGCTACGCGGACGAGCACCCGCTCATCCTGGCCGCTCGACAGGAGCTCGCCTCCCTGGAGGCAGAGGAGCGCCGAGCTCAGCCCCCCGAGCAGCTCCTGGTCTCTCTCCAGAAGCGCATGGAGGAGGCACTCGCTCGGGCCTCCCAGGTTGCGGACAACCTCGTGGAGGCTCTGGCGAAGGTCGACGACCTCCGCAGGCAGCAGGTCGTGGCCGACGCGGAGGTCAAGAACCTGGAGACCGAGGTTCAGGCTGCTCAGCGCGCCGTGGCGGCCTCAGCGGCGAGCTCCAGCGGCGTGGACTTGGCAGCCCTTGCCTCCACGCTGGTCGGCCTCCAGGCCGCACTCGCCAGCGCCCCCGCGCGCGTCGCCAGTGGGCAGGGCATCAACGTCTTGGAGGCGATTGGGCAGCAGGTTGCAGCGCTTGGCACAGCGTTCCCTGCCGCCTCGGCCCTCACAGCCTCAGGAGCTGCGGTCGCCGCCGCTTCCGCAGGAGCAGGAGGCTCTGCGGACTCCTCGCCAGCGGCCGCCGCCCCCCCCCGCGGCTGCATTGCCTCCTGGAGCTGCCCGCGCGTTTCGCGCTGGCGGGGGAGCCGCCGCAGCCGCCTGGGAAGCCGCAGGCGAGGCCGACATGGAAGGCTAGGCACCGTGGGCGTCGTGGCAGCGCCCGCACGAAGGCCTCGTTCGTTACCAACAACGGCTCGTCCTGGGCTTCGCGCAGGGAGTTTCTGGCCCACTGCGACCTTGGCATCCAGGCGGTGGCGGCTCAGTAGTTGCGCATCGATGGTGACGATCGTCGGCGTGCTGAAGGCTGGGCGGCTCGGTCTGGATGGCATGCTATTATCTCTTCGTGCCGGCGCCTGGAGTCTGGGCGGCCTTCTGCTGGTGTTGGTCTTTTCATTCGGCGTCACATCAGCGTGACGATGCTGCCAGGCTTGCCAGGCTTGCGAGGTTTCGACCTGATTCCGAACTTCTGTGTGGCATGCCATGCGGATTTCGGCATCAGAGGTGGGCTCATTTTATTGTCCTGCTACTTTGAAGTTGGGCGCTGGACCGACGTGAACGCGGTGCGGCTTTACGACATCGCTACTGCACTGCGTGGTTGGAACAGGCCGTTTTTGATGGCAGGGATGTCAACTGCGATCCGAAGCATCTCATGGAGTACGGCTTTTTGGACTTCATCCCTGCTGCAGTGGTCGCGAGGTCCCCTGCCCCTGCAGGGCGCCTTCCTGTGGGCACGTGCCGCGGCGCTCAGGGAGCTTACTCGACCATCGACTACTGGCTGGCCAGCTTGTTCATCGCGAGCTCGCTGACGCCGCCCCTGCCTGTGGATGGCTGGCCTGCGTCGCCGCATTTCCCTATGATGACGTCCCTCGACGCGCGGGCCAAGGCGGTCAAGTTCCTCGTCCTGCGGGCGCCGAAGGCCTTCCCGAAGGCGGCCCCGACCGAGGATGTCACACCGGTGTCGGCGGATGGCGCCCGCGACCTCATCGAGGATGATGTGGCACATGGGGGAGTCGCGAGTCCTGTTCAGGCTCAGGCGCGGCTGGATCACCTGTGCGCCGAGTTTGCGAATCTCGTGGAGGAGGAGCTGCTGGTGCGCTACGGCATCCCTGCGTGCGACGCGGCTCGCTACTGCGGCCGTGCTGATAGGGTGGCCTACTGCTGGCGCCAGGCTGGAGGGGCGCCCGCAGCTGCGAGACCTGCCGCACCTCCTGACGCTCGACGTGCTCGGCGTCTGGCCCAGGCTGCGGACGACGCACTTCGTGCAGGTCTGCAACCCCTGGATTTACTTCGGCGCTTGGACAGGCTTGTCTCTCTGGGCGCCGAAAGGTCTTTTCGCTCGCTCGAGCGCCAGCATGTGGTGGCCACGCTGCGAGGCATCCTGCCGCTGGCACGCGAGGTCGTTGAGGCGTCCCCCGCCGCATTCCAGGTGCAGTTGGATCGAGCTGCCCTGTTGCATTCAGGTGGCGACGCTGGGTTGTCTCCTGCTGGTCTCATGGGATTTGATCTCACTGGAATTCAGCGCCTACTGATGGATACTGTTTACTTTGTCATTGGATGGCTCCGTTCTTTCGCTGGCGATCTGGAGCAGGCGGCTATTGCCGAGCGCAGGCGGGATTGGGCCGCTAGCTGTCGTGAGTCACGGATCAAGCCACTGTTCAGCTTCACAAAGCCGTCTGGTGTTCCGCATTCCCAAGTGGTTCGGCATCAGAGGCCTTCCACCTTGGCTCAGGATGTTGCAGATGATCAAATAGATGGTTGGTCGGGCATCTGGAACGCACGCCCTGCATCCGAGGTCCCCACCCGTGGTCAAGTGCAAGGAGCGGCTGCTGGGCCCGATGGTTACGTGGCTCGGCATCTCGCGGACTTCCCTGACACGGCTCAGCTCATTGAGGATATTCGACGCTTGCCGCGCGCCTCTTTGCCTGTGCCTAAGATTAGGCAGTTGCGCTCCTCGCTCCCTCAGCCTCCTCACGGACGAGACCCTTTCGTTGCTCGTCTATGTACTTTGGCTGGCGGAGCACTGGGAGCGCTGGCCCACGCAGCTGGCCGCCGTCCACATTGTGCTCTTGGCGAAGCCCAAAGGTGGATGGCGGCCCATCGCGCTCTTGCAGGCGACCTACCGTGTGTGGTCGCAGGTCCGCAGCGAGCAGCTGCGGGCCTGGCTGCTGGAACACGACAGGCCGTTCTTCGCCCTGGCCTCTGGCAAGACCACTGTGGACGTGGCCTCGCGCGCCCTCGTGAGGGCCGAAGCTGCACTGGCGGTCGAGGATGGCGTCGTGACGGCCACCGTTGATGTCGAGAAGTGCTTCGACCGCATCTGCTGGCGGAGGTTGGTCTCAGCGGCGGCCCAGCGCGGCTTCCCGCGCCAGCTGCTCTCCTGTGCGCTGGCGATGCATCGTTCGCCTCGCAGGCTCGTGCGGCAGCAGGCTACATCATATGCTGTAACGGGGTCTCAAGGCGTCCTTCAAGGCTGCAAGTTCGCGATGGCCCTTTTGCAGTTGCTTTTGCTCGCGTCCATGGATGACTTTGTCAGCGCGGTCGGTCTCGACATTCCTGCTCGGCTGGGTTTCTCTTTTTCTTTGGACATCTTCGCTGACGACTTGACCCTGCAGGTGGTGGCCAGACGGACTGATATATGCAGGATCGCCACTGACGCGGTGGCGTTGCTCTGTGACACCCTGCTGATCTCGGCCTCCCCGTGGCGAAGTCGAAGGCGTTTCTCACAGCGTCTAACGACTCCACCGCCCCCGCTGTGGCTCGGCTTCTGCGGAGGTACGGTTTCCAGGCCCTGTCTTGGTTGGAAGTCTTGGGCCTCGAGGTGGCCGCTGGCAAGCGCGTTCGCGCTCGTGTGCTTCGGTGTCGGGTCGGTCGGGTTTCGAGGCGGGCCCGGCACTTCGGGGGGCTGAGCCACCTCGGGGCGATGTTCAGACAGGTTCCCAAGGCAGCAGTCGGCCCAGCTATTACCTACGGCTTAGGTATTCTGGGAGCTGGGCCGCACCTGATCAAGCGTATGACCTCTCTGGCGAAGCTGGGCTGGCAGGTCATTCCCTCGGGGGCTTCGCACTGGATCGCGTCGAGATTGGAAGAGGGCTCTGAGTTCCAGCCAGCGACGATTGCCATTGTTGGACGTGTTTTCAACTGGGCTTTGATGATTCAGTCGGGTGAAGTCGATCACGCCACGCTGCAGACGACATGGCGCTCTCAGTTCTGGAAGGTGGCTTCTGTTGATTAGCGAGAGAACTGGAAGCTGGTGGCAGGCCCAGCTGGTGCTTTCGGTCGGTCTGTGACGTACTTGGGCTGGACTGTTTCCTCTGCTTTTCGGGTCCGTACTCGTTCTGGTGCAACTATTGACTTACGTGAGGTGGCCCCGTCTGGAGTCAAGCGGTTGGCGCTCAAGGACTTTGAGATCGTGGGCTGGTACCAATGGGCTGCCAGGCCAGATGTGATGCCAGAACTCGATGGTCCGTCTCACAAGGACCCAGCGGGCGCATGGTTGAGTCCCATACGTGCGTTGCTGCACCCAGGCCCCAGGGCCAAGCGTTGGGTCTTGGATCCGCTGTCTCGGGCTGCGCTGCGCACTGCTGTCATGGGCGGCCATTTCACGCAGAAGCGGTTGTGCCGATATGCTTACGCTCGCTGCCCCTACTGCAGGAACTGTCCTGGGGTCGAGGGAACGGCTCACCACAGGTACTGGCGATGCAACGTTTTTGATGACATGCGTGAGTATGCGGTCTCTGAGGCTACGCTGGAGGCGGCAAGGAGGGCACCACCTGGGGATTTGCTCTACTCTCGTGGGCTGTACCCCAACTTCTTCCTGCCTGCCTTGCCTCCCAGAAACGATTCTGGTGTCTGGTGTTATGATCGGGGAGCTCGGGCAGAGGGACATTTTGTCGTCACGGGCTCGGTGCGCACTGACGGCTCGTGCAAGAAGTTGCTTCACTGGGGCGCGGCTGACCGCGCGGGCTGGGGCTTCGTGGTTGTGGGAGATGCTCGTTACTACGGAGCTGCTTTTGGGCCGCTGCCTGGCCATCGCCAGACTTCTGCTCCGGGCGAGCTGTTCGCCGTGATTCAGGTGCTGTCCGTTGGCGTGGCTCCGCTGCGCATCTTCACGGATTACATGCCGCTGCAAGAGGGGCTGGCGCGTGGCAAGCGCTGGTGCCTCAATCCGAGGCGCGAGAACGTGGATCTATGGCGTCGCCTTTTCCACCAGCTGGATGACCACGGGAGTTTTTCCATTGCTGGGGACCTGGAGTGTCCAATTCGGATCTCGTGCGTCAAAGGCCACTCCCGTGAGGACTCGTGGCATCGCCGTTGCAATGACTTGGCAGATCAAGCGGCGAAGCGGGGTCGTCAGCTGCATGATCTGCCTCGGGGCATTGTCGAGCACTGCGCCGACTCGCTGAATACGGTCAGGTCGGTCGCGACCTGGATTGCCAACGCCTCCAGGATGGTCTTCGACGGCGCCGTGGCCCCCGACCGCGTGGACGCCCCTCGGCGTCGGGACACGGCGCTGCGCGGCCGCTGGGCGCAGCTGGCGGCGGCAGGCGCTGGCGGCAGCGGCGCTGGGGTCGAGGGCGGCGGTGAGGGGCCGCCCAGAGGCGAGCAGGCCTGCCCCCCTCAGCTCCTGCATCGTGCGCGGCTGAGGGGTAGGAAATATAGTTGTGATCGCTGCTCCGCTTACGCTGTGACTCCTAAGGGTGCTGCGAGGCTTAGAAGGGGGCGTTTGTAGGGTTGCGGAGGCGGCGGCCCTCTGGGGCCTGGGGGGTGTTTCGCCTGAGCCTGCCTCGACTGCGGCCCCTGCTGGGCCAATGGGCCCTGGCGGGCCGAGCGGGAGTGTCTCGGGCCCCTCTGAGGCTAGCCCCTCCTTGGAGCTTCGGGTTGTTGAAGCCCCAAGTGGGCCAGAGAGGTCGCCGCCCCTCGCGACTGAGGGTCTTTAGCGGCCCTTGGCCTTTAAGCGGGTGAGGTTTCGGGTGGAAGGTGCGGGAGGGGATCAGCTGGATGCCGAGTTGGGGGAAGCGTGTCGGCGCGCCAAAGAGGCACGCCCCCTGGGCTCGCGAGAGCACCCCCCGCCTCCCCCCCCCCCGCCCCTGCCAGGACGGCGAGGGACCGCAGGGTTGGTGGGCCCCTGGTGGGGCCGCGTCCGAAGGCGCCTCGGACTGGGGCCTCGCCCCCCGCGTCGTGCGTCGGTGGGCCCTCGGGCCCTGGCGAGCTTGCGGGGCCTCCGCCCTGCAAGCGCCCTCGGACCTCTGGAGGTCCTGGTGGGCCTTCCTGGGTTGCGCGTGACGCCACCAGCCCTGAGGTCCCTCTCCCCGCTCAAGGCCCTGTTGGGCCCCGTAGTGCGAGAGGGCATCACATTAGTCTTGCTGGTGATACCCTTGCATTCTGCCACCGCTGCGGCGCCAGGGCCCAGCCGTCGGCCCCTCGTTCTCGTTTGTGGGGCCCGTGTGAGGGAATTGCATCCAGCAAAGACGCCACGTATTTAAAGGCCCATGAGGCAAGTAAAGACCCCCTCTCGGGCGAGTGGCGGGGCGAGCCCCGCCCTCTCTTCCCCGCAGACGATGCCTGTTTCTGGCTTCGTCCGCGGTAGTCCGAGGCGGTGTCTCGGGCTGTCTTTTTTGCTTTGATCGTCGAGCTGCGCGCCCTCGGCCTTGTCCTTCTCTTCTTCGTTTCTTCTCGCTCGCTCTGCGCACTCGTTTCGATCTGGTCGTGCCTCCTCCTCCTCCTCCTCCTCCTCCTCCTCCTCCTCCTCCCTCCTCCCCTGGGCAGGTCCCCCCACAGTGGCGGCGCACGGCAGACGTCAAATCTCCGGAGGGGGACAAAAAACACACAGGCGCAATGCATCGTGGATCCCCAAGAAGATATGGGAACATGTGGGAGTTGGGCGGGGAGGCAGAAGCCCAGAGAGTAGGGGAAAACATGGGGAATCATTCTATTTGTGTGTGTGTGGGCTTTTTTGTTGTGTGTCCTTGAGCATCGTCGGAAGTCTGGGGGGCCGAGCCGCGGAGGCGCTCTGGGCAGGCACGGGTGCCGCTCCACGCCGCGGAGCGGGCCTGGCTCCTGCCTGCGGGTCTGGGTGCGCCTGCCCCGTCCCCTCGGCCGTGGCTGGCTCGGACTCAA